ACACATTGTCATAGGTTACAGAACGGTCTTTAAGAGCATGTGCAGGATGTGTGATCAACAGATCGAGGATATAAACGTATTTATCAACTTCTGCATTTAACATTATGCTGTGGACATTCGAAACTCACTCCAATCAGTGACTGTTCTGAACGCAAATACTGAATTGTTGATGACATTCTTTACTGTGAGATACAGTTCTGAAGAAAAACATATTGATTAAAAATCAGGTAACAAACAATCTCATGACTTAACAAAGCTAATCTTAACATAGCCAGTCATAGCCAATGAAAGAAGGATTTGTAATTTCCATGTAGAGGCCTGTGGCAGATATGATTTTATAATGTGAAAAAATCTGCGGGTATCAATCATTGGTCCAGTTAGAGACAGGTAAAATTGTACATAGTAGTAACTCATTAGGAACAAATAGAAAACTTTTACTCACACACTGTGAGTTCTTGTAAGACCATAGTACTGTACTGTATGTAAAGAAGTCCTCAAAAAATCAAAGATTAAACAAAACTGGAAGGAGATGTTTAAAAGTGGATACATGCTAAAGCCAACTGCTTGGTGATTTATAGGCTTTTCAAAGTTCTTAATCTTAGCTTTTTTTTTTTTTCTTTTTCTTTCTTCCAAAGAAAGACTGAGCTATAACATTTTGGACTTTTTCTCTATTATCTAGTTTTATAATAATGAGTAAGGGTTCTCATAAATATATAAATTGAAACCTGAGGAGACAACTGTCTATCAAATCATTGGTGGATTTGTGTTTAAACCTGCTTGTGTGTAAACTTGTTGAATCTACATTTAGTCCCAACATTCAATGTTATTATCAATGTGTGGCCTTAGCCTTTTTCCTAGTTGTTTTGTGTTCTCTTGCTTCTGTTTGTCTCCCTTTAGCTTTCCTGGTATCGTAGTCTTCTAGCATTTGTTTATCTGGGAATGATTTTACTTCTTCCCATTTGATGGATAATCTTGCTGGGTATAGTACTCTTGGCTGAAATTGGTTTTCTTCTAGAGTTTTAAAAATGTCTTCTCATTCTTCCCTTGCCTACATTGTTTCCGCTAAGAGATCCAATTAGTCAGTTAGTCCCATGGAGTATTGTGTATAAGTAACTTGGTATCTCTGTCTTGTCATTTTTAGAATTTTCTCCTTGTCTTTGGCTGGTACCAGTTTGGATAAGAAATGTTTTGGAGAGGATCCTTTTATGTGGTATCTACTGGGTATCCTTTGTATCTCCTGGATTTGGATGTCCATATGCCTCTCTAAATTTGGAAGGTTTTCAGCTAATTTATCATGAAGAATATTTTCTATGCATTTACCTGTCTCTTTACCTTCTGGAATAACTATTATCTGGATATTTGTTTAATGTTGTCCAGGATTTCCTGTTTATTGTCTTCATTTTTAATGGCTATTCTTGTATTCTTTTCAGTTGCTTGGACTAAATCAAAGGGTTTGTCTTCAAGGTCAGAGATTCTTTCTTCTGCATGGTCTAATCAGTTGTTGCTATTTTCAAGGGAGGTTTTGATTTCCTGCAATGTATTCTTTATGCCCAGATGTTCATTTGATCGTTTTTCACTGTACCTGTCTCTATGGAATGACCCCATCACATTGTTACAGGGTTTTCTCATCTCCTGCCGTTGGTTCTCTCTCTTGCATACTGTTGAAAGCTGTTGGTGTGGATATTCTGACTTGACTCTCTCTGTCTTACGTACTATTGAATGTTGTTAGTATGAATATTCTGACTTATTTTCCTGACATTTCTGCAGCTTCTTGTCTTTTATCCATTGTTGGTGAGGAGTGATGATCCTCTGAGGGGGAGGGATTTCCTAATTTACTCCTATTTCTTGGTGTCTTTGCTTTGATTTTTAATCATCTGATGATATGCTCACTTCTTCCTACGTTTTGAAGTATGTTTTTGTAGCTGTGTGCTCCTGCACTTTCCTGTGGTACATGTAAGCTCCGTGCCAGTGTTCCTCCTCTACTGTGGGTGGGAGTGTGGAACCCACAAGGAGTTCAGGGTGTCTGTATTCAGAGGGGAGTCTCTCTCCTTTGACAATTAAGGGTGTTATGGGAAGAATTCATCCAGACTTTCCCATTCCCAGGTGTTTGGTTCTGGTATACCTACACCTGACAGCTCCCAACATGATAGGGGTTGCGGACAGACCGAATGTAAGGGAGTGGAATGACTCCTGTGGTGTGCTTGTGTCCATGTGGGCTAGAGAGCTGCCCCTCCCCACAGCAGGCTGGGTGGGAACCTCGGCTGATGAGCTCAGGCCAGTCCTCTTGCCTTGATCCTGCTGTTGGTCCTGGATGGACGAGGGGGGGAGTGGTGTCAGCACGTGTGGGCCAGCAGCTCTTACATTCTGTTTCTGGGATTGCGGTGGTGTCAGCACGTGTGGGCCAGCAGCTCTTGCATTCTGTTTCTGGGATTGCAGGGTCTCCCTGTTGCTTCTTCTTTCTCTCAGAAACCCCAAATCTTGATTCGATAATTATCTGTGTTTTCTATATTCGATGACTTCAAACAATACATGGAAAATGAAATGTAAAAATCAAAACTATGAACTTCATTTTACAATGCAAGCTCCACCAAATCAAGCCATGTTATAAGCAAAACTACCAGACACTTAGTCTAACCCTAAGGAACTGAGAATTTAGCCATGGTCCTGGGACCCATAACTAATATGGCCCAGCAAAGTGGGCTGGTCAGCAGAGCTGTTATGAGACCCCATGACACGGTCAGCAAGCCCCTACTTGAGAGACAGCCAATATAAGCCTTCAGCCTTCGTGGGTGAGTGAGTGAGGAAGCTATGCACCCCCTTATTCACGGGAGTCAGGAGACTTATTTCTGTTGTTTTAAGACCTTTACTCTATGAAGTGGCCTCAGCTGCCCAGGGAGGAAGGCTGCAGAGCCTGACAAGTCTGACATTGCTCACTCCTTTGTAAAAAGAAAAGACTCCTGATAGCAGGGTAATGTTATTCTATGCCAAAGTGACTGGAGGGACTGAAATGAGGAGCGGAAGGAATGGCGTTCTGTGTCCGTCGCAGTGTTCTTCCGTGATGTTCTATGGCCTGACATCATCCCCTGTCTCTTCCAACGCTGCCCCACATTGTGTTGCACCTGCCCTGGCTGCGAACAGCAGAGCTGAGACTGCAGGGTGGGGGCCTCAGCTGTCCGACAGAGCGGAGGGCTGTAGAACCGGGTCACAGGAACTGCAAACCCCGTTATCACTTCACTTCCTACTTACGCCGAAGCTTTCTTGGGTTAGAAGTGGAGAAAGAGTGAGTGATTAGAAAGCATGGAATCCATGAGGACACAGCTGTAAAAGCACGACTAATAGTTTTCAGGAGGTATTACAGATTTACATTTGCTGGGATTCATTCCTTTCTTCCTTTTTGTTTCTTGTTCCTTTCTGTTTTTTCTTTCTTAAACATCCTTTCACTTTCTCTGCTCTGTAGAGTCTTCTGAACAATGTCTCTGGCATCCAGGCTTTTAAATATATATTGTTAAGGATTCTTAACTCAGTACTTAAAGGAAGGAGGTCAGCCTGAATCAATGAGGAGCTGGAGAAATAAGCAGTTTTTAAGGAAATGAAGTTCTATTACTCTCGGGGACACACTGACTCTTCTGAAAGAAGTGACAAAGCTACGTTGCTTAGGAAATGGACGGACGCCTTAAAGGCACCTGTTTGTAAATTTATTATTTGAAACTATTTTTTTTGTTGTTTTGCTAAAGACCTTTACTTTTTAAATAGATTCACTTTTTTTGTTTTAGTTTTTACGAATTGCTTAGTTAACTTTCTTGTTTTGAATATCAAAATATAAATGCAAATTTCAGTTGTTTAAAACTGAGTACTGATGGGGTCAGGGCCACACACTCCGTCTGGGAATCCGCCAATGACCTCTCTCTCCGGCGTGCAGGCATGCACACGAGCGTATGTAAAGCTTTGGTCATAGCGGCCTAGGGGAGAGGGTGTGGATGAAGTCTTCCAACATGCTTTACGGGTTCAAAATGGCTCTTTCCATCTGCGATACGCCCATGGTCAGTAGCTTTATCTGTCTTTGTGAGAATGAGTTGTCTTCGAATTTTAAAGAGAATTGTAGTACCATCATTATTATTGTAATAATGCCATTGACATTTCAACTTCCTGCTTTCTGGTAATGTCACTTAGAAGCAGGTGAAAATTGTCTGTTTTCAATGGGGTTTCTCGCCTGCGTGTGTATATCTTTCTCATTCAGGCTGCTAATACCACGAACTAATAGGGTGTATCTAAACTCTTTGAAGGAAAAATAATGACCCGTCTCATGAGATGAGCGATTTTTATAAACTTCTCATTTTAACTTGGAGAGTGTTTTTTTTTTCTTGATTAAAATGTATTTCTCAATTAAATTAAAATGCAAATATAGATAGCTTGTGTTTATGGTTATAATAGAATTATTTAGAGACGGTTTTAAATCAACCTGCTATTAATATTTCATGCAGAAACTGTTGGTTTTATTGCTGGGCAGTGCTGCCATGTTCCATTTTCAAGATTACTTAAAGTGCTATGGAAACTTAATCATACAGCACAGGTTTTACTCACTGTTCTTGGGAAGGAGAGGGGCCGTTTCCATACACTTTCTGTCTGTGATGTTGGAGAAATATCAAGTATGAAAACTTCAGAACCAAAGGAAATCGAGTTATAAACAATTTGCTATTGGTTTTAAATATATACCTTATTTTAAAAATTGGAGCAACTCTTAAATTTAAAAGTACATTTTAAAGTTTATTGTACAATTAAAAATCAAAACATATTTCAAGAAACCATTTAGTTCAACCTTTTAAATTTATATTAGAAATATAAACTATTATACTAGAGACTGTATCTCATCCTATAAATGACATTATAATTCTTTTAGGTTTTGTTTTTCTTAGCGTCCTACCACTTCAGAAGCACATGGATTAAAAGTATTTATAAGCTGCGTTTTATAACTTGATCTTTTTCTTCTTTGTTGTTTGCAGTGATCTCAGTGAAAACCAAATTCAGGCAATCCCAAGAAAGGCTTTCCGTGGGGCGGTTGACATTAAAAACTTGTAAGTACATGTGTATTTTAATTTATAGCGTTTATAGCGACTTACTGGTTTGCAAAGTCACATTTATATGAAAGGAAGTGTCTAAAAAAGGCGAACGTGCCGTATTTCTTTGTGTATCAGGAATTCAATGTTTCTCTAGGGAGACCCTGGAAAAAAGGCGAACGTGCCGTATTTCTTTGTGTGCTTGGGAGACCTTGTAACACTAAGTTTTAAATTCTTTTCACAATTGTGTCAAAGACATTCTCATTTAGAAGATATTTGGAAATTGAAGGCATTATTCGAACTTACTCTTCAAACCTGGTGATTAATCTTTTGAAACCTAAGTAAATGGCTCGATGGAGAGGGTTTACAGTGTGTTTTCTTCCTCTTTTCCGTCCGCCGACTTCAGTAACTCCCTTTTCAGTTGCGATCAGTGTTTATTGGAAATGCAGCATAGGAGCTGTTTTTCTCTGGAAAGAATAGATAATATTTTCTTGTTAGATGTCTCTTTAGCCTAGAGCTACAGCATTTTCTAAAGCTTTTAGATGATCATTTTCATTAAATGCCAGAAGTATGAGAATAAGAAAAAATACTTTTCCCTTTAGGTGCATATTTTCTTACATATTTTTTCCTTGTATTTCCACAAAAGAATATATGTTTAGTCTCTTTTAAAAACAAACACCAAAAATGCAGTTTTGGTTTTTTCCCTTGATAAATCTTTAGTCTGGTGCCTGATTCAGAGCTGTTTTTTAAGTGCCTGTAGCCCTTAAAATCTGTGTCAGATGTCAAATCTCAATGGCAACCCGACACTGTCAGCATATGTCTTTATAAACTTTAGCATACCATATTAGCCTTTTAAAACGATGGTTTTGATTGTGAATACTACAACATCAAGTGTTCTCCTTCGCTTTTGCATCAGTTTGGAATGTGGTGGGAGGGAAGCCCTTGTGTGCTGAGATTAAGTATCAGGAATTCAATGTTTCTTAGCTAGCAATAAATGGGCTAGATGCTTTTTCAAGAATTAACTTATATTGAGAATTTTCCATGGTGGGTTCCCATGCTATTTTTCCAGGGGTGAAAGTGAGACAGATGTTTTTCCTTGTCAAAGAAGACAACTGTTTCTGAAGTCACAGATGTCAGCCTGGTCATTTCAACATGAGTGACTTCCATTTGAAACTTGTCCTTTCTCAGTGAGCAGGTCAAGACAGGAAAGGACAGGCTTCTCGTTAGAAATACAAGGAGCCGTTCCGATCATACCTGGGTTTATATACACACTCCGGGTAGAAGGACCTCAGTCGCTTTCACTTTATCTTTGCTAGCGAGGGCTTGGAGACGTTTTCAGGCAGATTTGGGGAAGTGATGGGCTCGAGTCTGCCTCTGTTTATTTTGCCTGGTTAGAACAGCATAAGAACCCCTGTAAGGAACCTGTGGAAATTGCTTTTAGGTCCCCGTAAAGGAATTCCAGGGGTTATGGTGGACCACCCTGTGTGTGTGTGTGTTTTGTAAACTTGCAGTAGTATTAGCTCTAAGTTCTTAAAATAGGCACCTTTTAGTATCTTGTAGGGATATGTATAGAATCTAATTCTACAATCTCCCATACTAAAGGGCTCATTGAGGAGCGAGGACTGGCCATGAGCGTGCTGTTCCTTACGGCGTGGGATTTCAAAATGAGATACTAGCCAACACACTACAAGGAATGGAGTGTGTATTAGCCAGATTTCCAATGATTTTTTTCTGTACATGCGTGATTGTTTTTGCTCCCAATTTAAAGATGATTATTAGGCAGGGACATGAGTTTAGGATTGAAGTCTGAGCATGTGCCGTTTTGTGGGATTTGTCATCATAAGCAAAGCAGTCAACTTCACTGAAGCTTAGTTTTATGAAACGAATGCAATAGTTGTTTGAGTTTATAGAAAGGATAGGCAGGGACCGTGTAAAGCAGTGAAATGCTATGGAGAGAGAGGATAGTGTGAGTGTCACTGCATATTCAGCTAATCCGCTGTCGGTTATCGGCCCTGAAAATGCACGGTGAGGAGCCGGGAAAGTGGGACGTGAAGTGACTCAGAACATCGGGAGGGACGTGACCGTCCCGTGTTACCTGGACATGGGGCTGTACGGTGGGAAGAGGAGGTGTGCTAGAATGTACCGAAGGAAGGGACCCGAGAGCCAGAGCCCTACACAGGACCATGTGCTGTAGGTGAGGGGGACAGGGGAAGGGTTTCTGGAAGATTTCGGGGTTGCAGGGGGAGCTGTTTGTTAAAGAAAGCTGAGAGCACTCTGAGGTCATGGAATCGTCAGTACCGACGAGCAGTGGTGGGTGAGGGGGATTGAGAATGTCGGATTTGAGGAAGGTACCCAAGCCCGGTTTAGGGGCTTTGCTCAGATTGGAAAACGGCACTACAGTGCGGGGTGTGTGTGTGAGTGTGTGCATATGAGGGTGTGTGTGTGAGTGTGAGTGTGGTTGACGTAAGGAATCCAACACCATCTTTTGGTTAAAGGAAGCAGCCGAGACTGACCAGCTGCAGGAGTAAGAAGCGTGGCGCTCTGACTCGGGGACCTGAGTCGAGGGACAGCCCAGTGGCTCAGCTTTGGAGGCCCACGTTGTTATGGAGGGGAAGGGGCCCAGAGACCGTGTGGCTGCTGTCTGATGATGGTCACGAAAGCGGGCGATCCCTCCTGCTCAGCCCTTCCACGTAAGAGCGTGAAAGACGAAAACCACCCTAAATGCCACAGTGTGTTTGTGTATTTATTTACTAAATTAGGATCACCCATAAAAACAGAGCTCTATGGGTAAAAGGCATTTTTCTATAGCGACAACAGAAATATAGTTTAAACTATGTAGTTCCAAAACAAAAAGAATGCCGGTCTCACGAGGCTTGGTGTGCAGCGCAGTTTTATCAGGACAGCTGAGGGAAGCTGCCTGGTGACACCGGGGAAGGCCGGGCTGTGGGAAGACGGGCTGGGAGACCCTGGTCCTTCCCAGGCTGGGGTCACGGGGAGGCCCGGAGCTCTCGGGCTCAGTGGACACGCCATGCCTGTTGGCCACGCTGGTCAGTGAGACAGGAGGATAGTACTTTGCGAGACTGTCTCAGAAAACCAAATGAAATAAAACAAGGCAAAAACTCTGAGGACACATGTACATTTACATTCTTAGTGAGTGTAATGATAACTCCTCAAGTCGTAATGAGAGACAACCTCACTAGTAGTAGCAGTGTTGTTAAGGTTTGGTGTGAGGACAGGTTCAGGGTTTGGTCCTGTTCTAAGAAGCGTGGCGCTCTGACTCGGGGACCTGAGTCGAGGGACAGCCCAGTGGCTCAGCTTTGGAGGCCCACGTTGTTATGGAGGGGAAGGGGCCCAGAGACCGTGTGGCTGCTGTCTGATGATGGTCACGAAAGCGGGCGATCCCTCCTGCTCAGCCCTTCCACGTAAGAGCGTGAAAGACGAAAACCACCCTAAATGCCACAGTGTGTTTGTGTATTTATTTACTAAATTAGGATCACCCATAAAAACAGAGCTCTATGGGTAAAAGGCATTTTTCTATAGCGACAACAGAAATATAGTTTAAACTATGTAGTTCCAAAACAAAAAGAATGCCGGTCTCACGAGGCTTGGTGTGCAGTGCAGTTTTATCAGGACAGCTGAGGGAAGCTGCCTGGTGACACCGGGGAAGGCCGGGCTGTGGGAAGACGGGCTGGGAGACCCTGGTCCTTCCCAGGCTGGGGTCACGGGGAGGCCCGGAGCTCTCGGGCTCAGTGGACACGCCATGCCTGTTGGCCACGCTGGTCAGTGAGACAGGAGGATAGTACTTTGCGAGACTGTCTCAGAAAACCAAATGAAATAAAACAAGGCAAAAACACTGAGGACACATGTACATTTACATTCTTAGTGAGTGTAATGATAACTCAAGTCGTAATGAGAGACAACCTCACTAGTAGTAGCAGTGTTGTTAAGGTTTGGTGTGAGGACAGGTTCAGGGTTTGGTCCTGTTCGCCATGCCGGTGTGCACATTTTCCACTTAGAGAACCCTGGGTGTGCCTTGGCGGCTGCTGTGTAGACGAAGTCAGGGAGTCAGGGTTAGGAAGAGCAGGCAGGAGGAGACAGGTGGTGGTGCTTCGGCTGCCTCCGGACGGGATCGTGGGTGACACCACAGGAGATCCAGTCCCCTAGCCGGCTTATTATGTTTACCACCTTCAGACCTGCTTCAGAGACATTCCAACTCCACGAGATGTTCGCTGGAAGCCGCTGCTGTCATTTTGCAGATGGGTTAAACATGCTCAGGGAAGCATCCTCACAGCACCGATGGGTGCCGCGGAAATGTTGCAAATTAGCAGATGGCGTTCCCCTTCCTCCAGGCAAGCCACGCTCAACTCTGCAAGACAGCTGGACATTGATCCCGCTCTCAAACATCTCTGGGGAGGACTTCACATAACTTTTTTCCTCCTCTTCATTAATTTCTGTTTTATATTTAACGTTGTTATCTTATTTTCTCCAGGCAAAATCTATACTACTATTTCTCTGACATCTTAGTGTAATATAAGTGTGAGACGGTCAGACTGACATGTCAGCTATAGTATTTATGATGGTCATAGGCAGTGCTGTTCCACAGCGAGGATATGTGCTTTTAAAGTCAGAGAAAGTCAATTAAGTATTGATACCATATGGTTACCGAGTGATGCCTCGCCAAAGTGGTAACCACTGTTGACAGAACTTTTCTTTGGAAACTTTTTGATAGCTATATCTATATATAACATGTCTATATTATATACAACACATACATATTATATATATAACATGCCTATATTATATATAATACGCATCTTTTATATTTATAGATACACAATATATAACAGATTTAACACTGATGCTGTCGTCTTTGCTGTCTTCTAGTCAAATCTTGAAGGAAGAGATGTTACCTTGTGCCACTGCTCTGTTTTCTCCTCTCTGTGAGCCATTTTCATTTAATTTACTACTGTAGGAGAACATGTGGGTTATCCCTGCCTTTGCACATTCGTTTGAGCTTA